GAGAGAGAGAGAGAGAGAGAGCATGACGCCAAGGAGCGGCTTCTTCCTGGAGGCTCAAAGGGTACATATACACTCCTCCGTCCCGCGCTTCGTGCCCATGCGGAACCCTGCAGCAAGATCCTCAATGCCGAGCTGAGTTCATGATAGCTAGGAATCGAGGGCCCGGCCATGCAGATCGACGTGGATTTCGTGGTTGAAAGCACTGTGTGTGTTTGTGCGCATGCGCAAGTGCACGGTGGCCGTTTTTGCATGATTAGGATTGCCTCTCCCGGGAGGCTCCTTGCATGATTGCTTGCATGATATCTAGACTCTAGACTTGTCCACATGCCGCAGCCGTTTACATGCATGCATGCATGTGCCCCACCTGCCCTCAGGCCCGGGTTTCTGTTTCTCTACTTGTGAGTATACACATGCTGTGAAAGTATATATCGCATCAACTCTTCCTGCAAGTGATGGAGATGATCGTCAAGGTATACCTGCAGCCTGCAGCTGGCATGCAGGAGGACTGGCAGTGCTGCATGTTCCATGAAGGAAGGCATGGACAAAGCACGCGAGCCTCCTTGTCTGAGTGTGAAATTCGCGGGTCGAGCATTCAAAGATCGATCTGCCGGCCCTCTGCTGCTTGTGCGACAATGTGCGCAGCACAGTCCACGGGTACGGGCTCCGAAAGCCACACCGGGACCCCGCCGGGGACTCCCATCGTGATCCATTTGCATGTGCGAATTCTTATCGGAGCTCCTCGAGCAGGACCGGCCGTTGGAGGTGCACATGCTCCCACGGGGTCGAGCGATGGAGGAGCAAGCGGCGGAGGTGCTGCTGCAGGAGCACCGGGTGCAGGGTCTCCTATCTACCCGATCCGGAGTGACCTCCGAGCTCTCTGCAAGAGGTTGTTCCGACTCATGAAAGTGAGCATCTGCGGTGGTGCAACAGATGCAAGCAGAACACCTACTTCAGAGAGGGCATCTGCCTGAACCAGAGATGCTCCGTGTCTTGGCTGCATTATCTAAATTGTATCTGTGAACCCCGAACCCTGAACCCTGCAGCCCTGAACCCACCTTTGGACCCCGAAATCCCCAAACCCTTGAACTCCTAAATCAAAGACCTTACCTAAACAACCAGGAGGCAGTCCTTTTCAGGATTGCCTCCTTGATCTAGGCTCCTTTGTTGCATATACATGATGCTGGCTATAGGTTGAGCTGGACACAGGACGGCCTCGACATGATCAGAGCGAAGCACTGGGGTGCACACCCGAGGTATTGAACGCCCGGATTTCCAAGGCGTGGGCCGGCCACCAGGGCATGGGCGACAAATGGGGCGCCAAAGGCCAAGGCCAAAGGGTGTCCAGAACAAGGCAGGCGGGGCGTTGGATGATGACGACAAGGATGAAGACGAGGAAGAGGAAGTCCCAGCTCCTGTCCCCGAACCCCTGTGAATCCCTTTACAAGCGGGATGGACCGGATCAAGACGGCTCCGGCTCGGCCCCCGCCACCGGAGATCTTGGTAGCCTAGATCCGTGGATGCAGCATGCAGGATCGCTTTGCAAAAACTGTTCAGCTGTGCACTGAAGCCTAGGTTGTTTGTGCTTGCATGCCTGCATGCATATAGCAGTTCATGCTTGATATCCTCGCAGGACTTCCAGACAGCCCCGACAAGTCCGAGGGACAGGGTTTTATAATGCATGGGTCTGCGCTAGTCTATGCTCCTCGTGCAGGTACATGCTCTACTACAGGGACGATGTCGTGCTGGCCCTGGACTGAAGTCGTTAATTGTTTCGCTGAGGCCGGCTTCTGGACTATACCGTGGAGGCTGGGTTTGGTTGTGGTGCCGCTGCCTTGGCTGTGCTTGTGCCTGTGCAGGAGGCAGTCGTCTTCATAGGAGCGCCTCCCTTTTTGGGCTTCAGGAGGCGGGCCTTCCTTTAGCAGGATTGCCTCCTTAATATCAATGCGCATTGGCTGCCTGGAACCCTAAAATCCTAAAACCCTAAACCCTAAGCCCTAAATCCCTAGAAACCTAAACCCTAAAAACCCCGAAACCCCAAACCCTAAACCCCTGAAACCCTCAAAGCCTATGCTCATGCATTGAGAGTCTCTCAAGGGATTCTGACAAGCATCAGGAATTTGCGACGGAGCTGTTCATGCAAGGAGGCTGAGAGGCTACACTCCTCTGTCCATGGGGAGAGCTTCGTGAGCTGATGCGGGACCGTCGCGACGAGATCCTCGAGAGGCAAGCTGAGTGATATACATATATACAAAAATATATATGTATGTATGTATGTATGTATGTATATATATATGTATGTATATATGAATATATATATATATATATGTATATATTTCTGAGGCTCACTTCTTGGACTATGTCATCGAGGTGGGTTGTTGTTTTGCTGTCCCTGGCTGGGTCGCGCTTCTCTGTGCGTTGTGCCTGGAGGTGGCACTCCTCCTGCTCAGGAGTGCCTCCTAGCATCACCTGTTTTATGATACCCTCCTTGAGGAGGAGGGTATCCTTAGACCAATAAGTTAAAACCAAGTTAAAATTTAACTCAGACTTAGCTTTATTGTATACCCAATAGCGAGGTAAATCGCAGTTAAGTTTTAACTGGTCTTTAACTGTGTGTCCCCTGAGGTGATGCATTGGCTGTGCTACATGGGTGCACACGAGACAAAACAGTTGCCTCCACGTTGGATGTCTTGCTGTTGCTAACAGCCATGCATGCTCTATCCTTTACCAGAATTCTCTTAATCAGGCAAGCTGCCCCCATCCATCCCGGCACCAAGCCGCCAATCAGGGGGAAGCCAGCTGCCAAAAAGGCCAAAGCGAAGCCCACACCCAACCACGGCCAAAGAGCTCAAGAAACAGGAGCAAGAGAAGGCTGAGAAGAAAAGGGACAAAAAGTAACGTGGTCACTCAGCTGAAGAATGCCAAAGACAAGCTCCTTGGAGCACAGGCCGGCACGACTCAGGTCAGCGACTATGAGTTGGAAGCCTTGAATAACAATGCCGAGTTCTTCGACCGCTATGTCAGGCTGGATCGCAATGATCTCGAAAAAGCCAAATGCTGCCTTCCTTCATGGCGGAGAAGACACGCAACTCCTACATGCAGAAAATTCGGGAGATTGTCACCGAAACAAAAACGGAGGATGGAAAGAACACGGGCGGAGGTCGCCGCCCAAGAAAACTATATAACATATTCTACATATTATATATTCCATATATGTAGCTATAACATATCTTCTACATTACATATATATTTTTTTCGAAACATACAGGTATATATACATACGTGCTATGTTACACTTTATGTGTGTATGTATATATATATATATACTCGGCCTAAACCTTATGTCAGGATCGAGCTTGTTCTGTTGAAAGTCGAGCATGTGTTGAAGAAGTCTCCGCCTATAGTTCTGCAGATCGAGCTTTTTCAAAGATGCATCGCACTGCAAAATGTGCATGCCTGCATTGGGGGGATTTCGGGGGCGTTCGACCTCCGGACTGATCGGCTTTCACACGTTCAATTGGGCATTTGTGACCCTTGGGACACTTGCCAGGTTGGAATGCTAAGCAGGGTTTCTTTTGCTCACGACC